TATAAAACTGGGTAAGGAAGCTATATGCCATTACAAGGGGTAAGATGCTGGTGCAGGCAGGGCTTGTAAAGGAAGGAACAAAACACATTCTTGCATCAAGAGCAAAAGAGAACAGGAATAGGTCATGGCTAATGGCTAATTCACTTTTCAAATGAAATGAAGTACAATTCTGGGAAATGAATTTGGGAAGAGTCATTTGTCATTGGCTACTGTGTTACATCAGAGCCCAAAAACTTTATGGACCATATCTCTGGTCTCTGCTATGGCCATTGGTGGGAGAACAATGTCCATCTGCATGCCATCTGCATTGCTCTTATGAATCACGTAGGCTGGCTCACTACTTAAAACAAGCCAATTGTGTAGTTAAGTCTTTATAGTCTGTACTGTTTACAGCCTGCTCTGGACATAATCAACAAGGCAGTCTCTCACATCCCTATTTAGAGATTAAGTGTGGTTTAAGGAGATACACTGGGGTGTCAAGTTGACTAAAGTTGGATCGTGATGGTTAATTTTGATGGTCAAATTGATTGACTTGAGAGGTGCCTAGCAGATTAGTAAAGCTTATTCCTGGATGTGTCTGGGTGGGTCATGGGGACATGACCTTGAGGACAACATCTGGTCCCTGATCCTTTCCTCTGTGGCTTTTCTCTTGCTTTCTGGTTCCTGGACACCATGAGTTGTCTGGCTTTCCTCCACCATGCCCTTACACCATGATATTTCTTCCTTGGAAACAGCCAACTATGGACTAAAGTTTTATCTCTTTTAAATGTCCTACCTCTGTACTGTCCACATCTTTCCTTCATTGTCACAGTGTTTGCTTACTTACAACTTCTTCCAGACATACCTTACTTGACCCCTTTAATTTGGGTTTACCATACCTCCTCACATCTTCCCCCCATTACAGAACATGCCACACACAGTTTTGTCAACTTGTTTAGTGTAGCAAGAACTCTTTGAGAGAAAGAAACTGTTTTTCAAATTTTTGTTCATTCTACCTCACAAAATTCTTGGCATAACAATCACACTTTTATGAACCACTGAAGGAATGAATGATGAGTGAAATAAATAACCAAATGCCATTCCTTCCACTTGATTCTTTGTCTCTTTATTTTTACCAATCTGAATGAAATCAGTTTCTCACATTCCTTTTTATGATCAAAGAATATTTTTATGATCTTCAGATGCATTATCATTATGTGTATAAACTAACAAAAAATCCTTACATATATACAGGTGTTTCTGTAGGAAAAATATCTATTGCCTGATAAGTATTTTTATTCTTACACACCCCTGGACTAATAACTCTCTACTCAGTTCCAAATTGAATGTTCAAAGGAAAACATCCAGATGCTATAGAACCCACTTTATAAAGAAAACATTTTGGTACAAGGGAACTAGGTTTTGGATTTGAAGTTAAGGTGTTTGGGTTTGAAAACTCATTTGGCCATTTTCCTTTGAGCTATTCTCAAATTCAATACAATGGGAAAAATTATCCATAATTTTTTGTTATTTGTTTTATAGCTTATGGATATGAAAATCTTTGTAAATAAATGAACATGTAAATAATAAATTCCTTATTTTTATTCCCAAAGGAGTTGACTATCTTTAGCATCATCTAGCAAAGGCATATGTCTCCTGGGAGTATTAAGAAAAATAAATTGCTCCCTAATTGTGTCTCACCAGAGACTTGTGTATGGGGCCCCTGGTTCTGAATCTGGCTAGTAAGGAGAGATTGGCTCATCATTAACTTGGAATTGGTAAAAAAGAGTTTGTTCCCATGTCATAGTTGAGCACTTAACTTACTACCTTGTCTCAGCTCTAAGACTTTTGGAGAAAAATGAATAATTTGTTCATACCGTGAAGCTGACAGTATTTTAACTTATCTCTGTCTTGGGTAGGTAAGGGTACTGCTTATAGACTCCACTCAGCAATGTCAGCTCTGTGTGTGTGTGTGTGTGTGTGTGTGTGTGTGTGTGTGTGTGTATCGTCTGTTACAAAATTTTGCAGGTGATTATACTTGTACCTGGTACATTTTATATAATTGCTTTGGCCCATCTCAAATAAGTGAGGCTAACATAATTGCTTTAATTTGGGACATATTTTCCTGTGTAGAAAAATTTTAACTCATTTCACATGTTGCTGACTACATGGTTCAGCTGCAAGTATATCCTTTCAACTTTAAAAAATAATGTCTATATCTATATAATAACAATCTGCATTTTGTTAGTAATTAAAACCATACCTATGGATAATTTTCTATGATGTATTTTCAAATGTTTTTCATAAACTTTAGTGAATTCATCTTAACTACATAATAATACTTCTAATAGTTCTGTACCATAGTTGCCTTAATATTTCCATTATTGATGGGAAATCAGTAGCTCATCAAATCATTGGCAATGTGTTGTTTGCCTTTGTTCTGGAGCCCTGAAAATTCTTCTTTATGGTCAACTGTCTTTGTAAGTGCAATAGTTAGAATCCAGTCCCTCCATTTATCTCCAATCATTTGCCTAACCACTTAGTCAATACATCCACTTAACTCGGATCTATTCCTTGAAATTCTTAAATGCTGGAGGCAGAAAGTATTGTATTTCTTGAGGGTATGTTCAATGAGAGCTTTTAGTAAAGTGGCAAGAATATAATTTTTAAGCTAAATAGCGCTGGTATCTAATCCTATGTTCACCATACACTAATGCTATAATTTGGGTGAGTTTCATTTCTGAATACCAATGATCTATTCTTTAAAATGGTGATCAGAATGTCTTCATGAAAGACATTGAAAACAATGAATAGTATTTGAAAATCCTCTGCTGCCAATCACTATATCAGATTTTATTAACAAAGCAACTGCTGCTGCAGCCCAGCACTACAGAAGTCATCTCAGTCAAATTGGGAAGATACTAAATTTGTTCCTGAAGTCTGTAACCTCAGCTTTCCTTCTGCCTCTAATTTTAACTCCTCTCCCCTTCTCACTCTCTCTGAGGAATTAAGTGCCCTTGTTGTGCCATCCAGACATGCCCCCCAAATGAAACACTCCCAGCCTTTCCATCTCAGTGACAGTACTGGCAAGAGTACTCCTCCCAGAAATATTTGCTTTAATTCTGATCTTTAAGGAACCTAAATGTCCTTTTTCTCTCGCCAAGAGAATTTTGTATATCAGCAACCTCCTGACTGTGGTGCTGGAATAAACATATAGAAGACTCAGTGTTATATTAGAAACCACATTACGCAAATGTAGTTTTGCATAGTCCCTTGAGGAAAGAAAACTGACTCAGAAGAAACAAAAAATTTAAGAGAGAAGGTTCCATTATTCAATTTCCAATTAATGAAAATTCTGGAATCAGATTTGGGTCCAAGGTGGTGGAATCATTGCATAGTTTCTCCCATACGAGAAACTCAATTATAAATAAATTTAAGAATAAAATGACGGCAGAGATTTTGGAGTAAGGAAAGAGGGTCAAGGGAAGGTGGGATTCGGAAGAGAGGAAGGTAGGAAGAGAGGAAAATGGATCAAAAATGGTTCATTTGTTCTATATATGTATCATTCTCCCAAAAAGTGAATTTTATGTAATGCAATCATATACCAATAAATATATTTTAAAAGACTAAAATATGCATTTATTAACCATTTTATCTTAATTTCCTGTGAATTTTCAATTCATACTATCTGCTGCATTTTGACTGAGTTTTTTGTCTTTATTAATTCCTAGGAATTTGATATGTATTCTGAATATAAATCTTCTGATGGCTATACATTGTCACATTTGTAAAGTGTCTCTCAACTTTATGGTTTTGTTATTGTGGTAGTGGTTCTAATAAGCCAAACTTACTAGAATGTTTATTTTGGCATTCCACTTTTAAGGCTCTTGGTTAAGAAATATGCCATTATTCTAACATCATAAATATAAGTTTTGAATTTTGCTTCTCCTATTTAACTTTTTAGACTATCAGGGATTTTCTATGTATGGTATGAATAGGGGATGTAATGTAATTTCTGTAGGGATAGTGAACTGTCTCAGCACCATTCATTGAAAAGGCCATCCTTTTTACTCCCACTGACTTCTGTCTTCATTATAAACCTATTTCTACGCTGTCTTTCCTACACTGGTTTATTGATTTATCCTTGTAAAAATAAATGATTTATTAAAATCATTGTTGCTTTATAATAAGCATTGATGTATTGCAGTGAATGCCTATCTTCTTTTTGAAAATACAGAGATATTTTTGTATTGATTTGGGTTATGTATGTATTTCAATCTTTTATTATTTTAGACACAATGAAAAGATTCAAATTTCTTTTAAATTAATTTTGGTTTCTAGATTACATTTTTTTTTTGAAATTTAATACTTGTGGCAATGAAGTAAAATAGTGCCATTATTAGGGTTGAACAAGGTCCCTGAGCTAGACGTGATGTAAGTTTTTGTTGAAACTGTCACCATGAGTTTTATCAGATAGGGCACCTCTTATTTTGCCAAGAAATTTATACTGCATATGCATTGTCTATGATACATTCTAAATCTACAACCAATAAACATTGGTGAAATGAATGATAATGGAATGTGTGGGTAAGCAGAGGATACAGAATTAAGTTGTGTGTCATTACACACAAAATTATGGGGGGCATTAATATTTCTGATGACAATTACTTTGCTTTCAGGGAACAAACTCTGGAGTCAAATGACTATTAAATCAGTTACTTCACATATGCTGTTAAAATGCTACGTAAGGGAAACATTTAGAGAGCATTAAAATTTAATGTTATCATTTACAGACTTTGAGAAAGAAAGTGGCTGTGTATTTCAAACCTGCATTGTTTTTCTACCACATTTGCAACAAAATATGTGGCAAATATAAGAAAGTATGGAAGAAGACATTCCCTAAAGTATGGAAGAAGACATTCCCAATATTCAAGAGAATATTATTATTATCCACTGCTCCAAATATCATTTCTTATTCCAAGATATCCCAGTTTTCCCCTACCTGTAGCTGATATACAAGTATGAGGACTGAGAACCAGAGCAGAGTGTCAGAGTTCCTCCTCCTGGGGCTCCCTATCTGGCCAGACCAGCAGGCTGTGGTCTTCGCCCTCTTCCTGCTCATGTACCTGACCACGGTGCTGGGGAACCTGCTCATCATCCTGCTCATCAGGCTGGACTCTAGCCTCCACACCCCCATGTACTTCTTCCTCAGCCACTTGGCTCTCACTGACATCTCCTTTTCATCTGTCACTGTCCCAAAGATGCTGACAAATATGAGGACCCAGCACCTATCCATCACCTCTGAGGGTTGCATTTCACAAACATATTTTTTCATATTCTTTGCTGACTTGGACAGTTTTCTTATCACTTCAATGGCCTATGACAGGTATGTGGCCATCTGCCATCCTCTACATTATACCACCATTATGAGTCAGAGCCTTTGTGTCATGCTGGTAGCCGTGTCCTGGGTCATTGCTTGTGCTTGTGCTCTTTTGCATACCCTCCTCCTGGCCCAGCTTTCCTTCTGTGTTAAAAATACTGTACCTCACTTCTTCTGTGACCTTGGTTCCCTGCTTAGGTTGTCTTGCTCAGACACCTCCCTCAACCAATTGGTAATCTTTACTGCAGGTCTGACAGCCATTATGCTTCCGTTTCTGTGTATTCTGGTTTCTTATGGTCGTATTGGGGTCACAGTCCTCCAGGTTCCCTCTACCAAGGGCATCTGCAAAGCCTTGTCCACATGTGGATCCCACCTCTCAGTAGTGATTCTCTATTATGCAGCAATTATTTTTCTCTATTTTCTTCCCTCCTCCATCAACAGCAATGCCAATGAGATAATTGCTTCAGTGATGTACACTGTGGTCACTCCCATGTTGAATCCCTTCATTTACAGCCTGAGAAATAAAGATATGAAAGGGGCATTCAGAAAACTGTTTAATAAGAAAACATACTCTTCCAACTGATATTTTTTTCTCTCTATAACATCTCCATGATCTTACTTCCTCAATAATGCAAATATATATTATTTAAAATATGGCTCATTTGTCTTTCTTCCGCAGCTGTCCCTTGAAATGCACTGCTGACACTATTTCTGTCCTTATTAGTGAGAATAATGAAATAGAAAATGTTTTACATGACTTTATTTAATTTTTTATTCAAGGTTGATATTGGAAAATATTTTGGCTGTTACTTTTTATTGGTACATGTTTGCCGTACATAACAATCACATTTATTATAGGGAAATTGTACCTGTACTTAATACATCTCAATTCTTCTTTCTTCATTCCCCTCCCCTCCCTCCAACCCTTCTTCCCCTCTCTATTTACAAAAGTTTTGTTTCAATTTTTTGTCCCATTCTCTTTTTTTAAAATCCCTTTTCCCTTTATTCCCTTTCCCTTCCTCCTGTCTTGTTCCCTTTCCCATTTGAACATCCACTTTCTACTTCCCAATATCTACTTTTTTCTGTATTTTATTATTTACTTCTTTTAATACAAAGCTTTGGCATTAACAATTTTATGAAAAAATAAAATGTACTAAAAATAAATGCTTGCGTGGCATGATTGGTAAATGATGCACAAAAATAGGTTCTTTTTCCCTCAAGGCAATCAGTCAGAAAGCAGTTTTTTCTTCTTCAAAACCATTCTACCTTGTTACTGCAATGTTGATTTCTCCCACTCGGGGTGAGCTCCCCGTCCTGAGGAAGAGGTGATATCCCAGAAGTTCAAAGTGGGCGTTGTCACTGGCAAGGTCACCTAGGGCTGATCTTCTGTCAACTGCTTGGGTTCTGGTGAGCTTTTCCATATCAAATGCTATGAGATCGATACATGGCAGATTTGGCACAATTCCCAGGGCCTTCAAAATATTAAGTTTGCACATAGGACAGGTACGTAGTGTTCACTAAGCCAGGGATCCACACAAGATTTGTGGAATGTGGAAGACGTGCTTGCAGGGGAGAATCCGAACGACATCATTCTGTTTACAGCTCTCTATGCAGACTGCACAGTGATCAAAGTCTGGGTGTTTCCTTATCACCTTTTTTTACTGTTCTGGTTGTCAATTTACTGATGGCTTTCTTGGCTGCATCTCCAAGGTGACACTGGTTCCTGTTGCATGCGTTCATATACTTGATCTTCTGAATGAAGTATAACATGAGCCATGCTGAAGAAATAATCATCAAAACAATAGAGGATATTGACACGAAGACTAGAGAGCCACAGCTGAAGTTCTTGGGTGGCATTCGAGTTCCAACAGCTATTGTCATCTATACAGAGATGTTTTTCTCCAGATAACTCAAAATATCCTTACCCCTCAATTCTGTTATGATGACAGCAATAATATCTCCAGTGCCTGGATGAGTCATTGTGACTGGCTCCTCTTTGGATTTATTATTGTAGATGACTACGGCAACTGCATTACGGAAAGCAGCCTGTGATATTTTCTCTTTAAACGCGCAATTTCCCCTCTGCAGCAAAGCAATCCACTGTTTGATATTAGGAGGGACAAAGAGGATTGCAACCCAGGCCGAGCTCGTCGTGCTCGCCCTGCTGACCTGCAGCCTATGGCTGGTGTGGGCGGACAACCTGAGCCAGGAGTACTACACGGCGCTCATCAACGTGACCTTGCAGGAGCCCTGCCGAGGTGACCTGCTCGCATTCCTCATGGACCGCAGGCGCTACTGGCTCGACTCGCCCAAGGCCGAGGTTCGCGGCCAGGTGGAAGCGCCGCTGCCATCCACGGAGTTGCTGACCAATATCTATTTTCTATTTTGCTCTTTTTTTACCCTTTGAGTTTCTCACGCAAGAGAAACAAAGTGATATTTAAACTTGTGTGTAAGATTTATTTCACTTAAAATTATAGTCTTGAGTTGCTTTCATTTACTTAAAAATATCTCAAGAGTACCCTTATTTATGGCAGAGTAGTACTCTGTTGTATGTATTCCATTTTCTTTACCCACTCATCCATAGATGAGCATCTGGGTTATTTCCAAGATTTATCCATTATAAATTGTGCTATTATAAGTGTGGGTATGCATATATCAGTGTGATAGGATTTGACTGTTACCATTACATTAAAGACATCAGGGATAGTTCTTCAAATATTAAATTTGTTATAAAATATGTCTGATCTTTCATATTGAATTTCTAAAATTTTTTCTATTTTTAGTAACATATACTCCTCTCTCACTGAGGAACCAAGACAAACAGTAATACAAAAACCTTCTAGTACTTTCAAAGATAACATACGAAGTTATATTTTGCACACATAAAAACACACTGCCTTCTTGCCCTTCAGAAATACTGTTCACACTTCCTTTCTCTCAAACAGATGCAGATATCAGTGACAAAGAAAAGCCACCTCAATTACTGATCCATGAGCAACTTTTATTCTGATAACTCCAAGAGTCAGTTTGGGGGAAATCTCAGGCTCAAAGAGTTGAAAAACAGCCCTAAATTACATTTAGTGAAAGAATGTGAATCGTGGTTGTCTACTTCAAGAACAATTCACTGTGGTAAGACTGTGATCCTTTATTTTGAGTACTATGGTAAGCCCAAGAGGAATGATGAGCACAGCAAGGTGAAAGAAGACAGGAAAGATTTCCCAGGAAGGTATGGCTTTATCAAACTCTTAGGATTATGCAGATACATAAAGTTCTATGTTGTCCAGATGGTCAGGAAGAGAGTGCATCATGTATCAGGATGTTAAATTGGAAGTTTCAACTGAGACACGAAGATTTAGTAGACACAAAATGAAATACACTAGAATGAGTTTTAAGATTCAAAATGAAGATACAGAAAATGCCCTGTAAATAATATAGTCACTCTTAAGCTTTGCAAGATAACGTGGATTAAAAACTTATGTGAGTTGGGGATAAGAGAGGGTCTTATAAGTGTATTTCTTTTGAACAAAGCTTTCAGCAAGGTTCAAGTCCTCCCAGTGTGAAGAAAGTTTCTTCCCTCCTCATTTCAAGCTTATTAGGAGAGCTTGAATATGAAGATCTTCTAAAACGATTACTATTTGTCCTCTGCTTTGATGAAAGCAAGAGCAGTAATGAAAAAAAAATGAGGGGAGAGGGTCGTGGAGAATAAGATAGAGTAATGTTTACAACTAGTTTCACTTCTTTTCATAGTGGGCAATAAAATAAGGTAAAAATGTGTCCTAAAGACCACAAGTAGACTAGAGGTACACTCAACCCAGCTATTTCCCTTCTGGGTATTTCCCCAGAAGATTTAAAAACATCATATCTCAGAGATATATATGCACCTATGTTCATAGCAGCACAATTTGTAATTGCTAAATTGTGGAAGCAACCCAAATATCCATCCACTGAGAATTGGATAAGAAAATTGTGGTACTTTTGTATAATAGAATATTACTCAGCTAGAAAGAAAGATAAACTCAAGGCTTTTATAGGTAAATGGTCACAACTAGAGACCATACTCATAAGTGAAATAAATCAGAC